GGCAATGTGTATCATTTACATAGTTGCTACCATGTCATTCAACATTTATCAACTCAGTTTAACCCCTCAACAACTTTATGAGGCAGATGCATTAATATCATCTTCATTTAAAAAAGAATTTGCCTGAGGGTACATGCACTTGCTTGTGGGGGCAGGGGATGGGGGGAGAAAAAGAAAGTGAGAAAGCCCTCCCCACCAAAGGGAATGGTCATACCACAAGTCCTTCTTCTCTATTTCTTATTCCTTTCAAGATTCTGGGCACACACACACACAAACACACATACACATACACACACACAAACACACACACACACACACACACACACACACGCTCACACACCTGGCGTGTTTTGCAAGCCCCCAGGTCTGGGACTTGAACCATGCAGTTGGCCATGGGGAATCTAGCCTTCCCAAACACCACACCACCAGCTGACCCATCATCCTCATTTTTACAAACAGGGAAACTGAGGTACTGAGAAGTTAAGTAACTTTTCTAAAGTTGCACAGCTAGTAAATGTAGAGCTGGGATTTGAACCCTGGAGGGTGAAGCACAGTCCGTGCTCCCAGCATGCTAAACTGCCTCTCGACATTGAGCTACTACTCTAACTAGATGGGATGGGGTGCAGAAAAGGTTCACAGACACCTCCCTAGAGGTGACACTGGACCCTTGGTTATAGGAGTTAGTCAGGAGAAGCGTGCTGCAAACAGAGGGAACTGCATTTGCAAAGATGGGGAGGTACGAGAATCTGCCAGGAGCTGTGACTGGCTGTTCATGGAGTAGAAGCAGTAGGGGTGGGGTTCCGGCAAGTCTGAGGTCAGGATTAGCCTAAAGGCAACGCATGGCCAGAGGAGGGATTCAGTGAGTTCCCCAACCCTGCTGTTCTCAGGGAACAACTCACATTGCCCAGGCAGGTGGGGGAGGTTGACTCAGCGGCTGCTGTGAGCTCAGGGGAGCAGAGAAGCTGGCGCTAACCCCACGCTCTCATCCCACTGTGAGCTAACACCCCGGCAGCCTCCCAAACACCAGTTCCCCAGCAAGCAGAAGCCGTTCCCAGCCAGAGAGAGCAGCAGGCTGGAGTGTGCTGCCAGGAAGCTGAGCGCAGCCCAGCGAGATGGAGGGCAGATTGACAGCAGCCTCACACCCCCACCCAAACCCCGGCACCTGTGGACCCCAGGGCACTGCTCACTCCACCCCCACAGTCTGCCATAGAGCACAGCGCTCCCTGGCCCCTCCAACCTCACGTGGCTGTCCCCAGAGCTGGGGAACCAGCCCATCGGGTTTAGCACTTTTCTCATTCAAATGCAATACCCACAGATCCAGCACAATTTTCTATATCTGTCCTAGATAAACATTTGTATGCGTGCATAAAACAGCCTATCTCCAAGATATATTGTTGGTGTGAAAAAAAAAAAGGAAAATTGCAGAATAATGTGTTCAGGAAGTCATCACTTATGCAAAAACCGGAGAGAAAAAAAAAATAAAAACAACCTATGGCTTTATATTTGTCCAAGTCTATGAATACACAGATAAATAAGAAAAAGGCCTGGAAGGAAATACGTCCAAGCTAACACCAGTGACCATGAGAGGAGGAACGAGTAGAAGGGAGGAAATGGTTTTTTACTTTATATACTTCTATATTGTTTGGTTTTTATGAGAAAAATGTGCTTGTGCATATTTAAGTTCTTAAAGACATCAAAAGTCTGTAAAACAAAAACAAGAAGGGTCAAAAGGACGGCATGGAGATTAAGGCGCTAGATCCCACATGGCCAACTGCACAGTTCAAGTCCCAGACCAGGTGCCTTAAAAAATCATGGCAGGCAGGGACCACGAGTTCGCACAACTGCTAAGTCACTGGACTCCCACGTAGTCAACCACGGTTCGTGTCCCAGACCCGGTGGCTTAAAACTCATGCCGGGCACGTGTGCGTGCGTGCCCAAGATCCCGAGAGGAGAATGGAGGAAAAGGGATTGCGGCGTGGCCATCCCCCCTAGGGAGTGACTTCTCGCTTTCTCTCTGTCTCTCTGTCTGTCTGGCAAGCCCACGCCCCCTATAGCAAAAACCTCTCCAAAACAAAACAAAACAATAACAACAACAACAAAAAAAAATCATGCCAGGCACATATGCATGCATGCCCAAAATCCTAGGAGGAAAGTGGAAGAGAAGAGACTGAGGCATGGCCATTCCTCCAAATTCTCTCTCTCTCTCTCTCTCTCTCTGATGAGCACGAGTGCCCTACAGCAAAACTAAAAAAAATAAAAATAAAAAGGAAAGGTGTGTTAAAATGCTCAGTGTTCTGCTACAGGCTCAGGGTAACTTTTCAAAGAACTGTCGTATCTAGGATCTTGTCTAATTCCTGCCACATTCTCTAGAGTGCAAATGTTTAAATTCCCATTTCACAGATTTAAAAAACTGGATCCAAAGGCAAAATAAGCTGCTCAGGTCACAGGTGGAGCTAAGGGGCATTGGTCTTTGAATTCTGAGCCCAGTGCTCTTTCTAACCAGTCCACAGGGCAGTCATCAAGGGGTAGGGCTGGGGCAGGGCCTGGGCACGGGGCACTAAAGAGGCACCTCAAATCTCCAAGCAACTGAAAAGCGCCCCCCCCCCGGGGCGGGGGGGAGATGGGGCTTTGTCAAGGAAGAAGGGAGTAAAGAGGAGTGGGTAAGAAAGAGCTGATGAACCCTCGCCCCCGGAAGGAAGAGCTGATGCACCTCCGCCCCCACAAAAATGAGACATCCTGATGAGCCACCCACTGAGTGGGACGGGCTGCCACATCACTCGGCACACCATGTGTGGGCAGGAGCCTTGGGGCCGTGTCCCCGAGCCCAGGATTTCATGCCTCTCTTGTGTGGGCTGCCTGCCCTGGGCTCTTGACAGAGCTGTTTCCAGCTAAGTGGTTCTGGGAATCCTCTCTGTCCATTTTCTAGAACCTCTTTAAACTGGGTGGAAATGGAATCGTGCTTCTTGGAGGGTTCCAGAACCTGAAGAGAAGGAGAATAAAACCCAACACCTTGTTGTGCCGTAAGGTGTCACACACAGTTCTTTAGTGACTGCTTTAGCACCCAGTGTCTAGGGAGGGTGGAGAGGGGCTCAGGAAACAGGCTAGGCACCTCCAGGGATGGCCAGGAAGGCTTAGACTAGAGGCTGAGGGGACAAAGGATGCATGCTCTGACTTCAGCTATACAACAGGCAGCACGGCCCCTCAGAAGGTGCCCAGAGAGGAAGGCTTTGGTCACGTCACAGCCCCCATTCATTCTCACAGTGGGAAGCAATCTGACGAGGCCATGAGGGTAGTGACCAGAGTTTGGATCGCAGGGTTTCTGATCCCGCTCTGCCACCTGGTCTAGGTTCTGCGCCTCTCTGAGTCTCAGTTTCCCCATCTGTAAAATGGGTGTTTCTAAGTACAGCAGACTCTGGATCATGGGAAACATAACACAATCACATTAAATATAGAAAGTATAGCGTACAAGTACAGAGTACCCACATCTGAAACACAGATTATGTTGATGTGTGTATGTGTTTGCTTATATTTATTTACTCATTCATTTCATGCAGTGAAAATGTCCTAAATCGCTTCATATATATTCCTCTGAGTTTTCAGACTTTATAGACATCCTACGATAATATAAATACAGTGAAATATACTACAATATACTACCAACATAATAAAAAGAAAAAAACATTTTATCATATATAAGTATATAAACCACTTTCTCTGCATGAGGGACCATGCCGAAGAACCTCACAGACATTATTTAACTTACTGTTGACAGCAAGCCCTGGAGATGGACTCTATGAATATAGTCTCCCTGTTTTACCAAGGTGAGAACTAAGTCCAGGGAGCCACAGTGACTCATCTGCCTAGCAGGTGCTAGGTTTGAATGTGTCCCCCCAAAGGCGTGTATGGAAATATGACAAGCTGTGGTGATGGCACTGAGAGAGTAAGGGCTGATTTGATTAGGATGCTGGAAGACAGGGCCTTTGGAAACTGATTAGGCATCAGGGTGGGGGACCCATGAATGGATACCTGCTGATTTATAGAAACAAAGGCATGCCCTAGTTCTGGCACAAGCTCTCACCATGTGACACCCCATCTCATCTCATGACCCCACCAACAAGACCCCACCAGATACAGCTCCTTGAACTTGGACTTTCAAAACTGTGAGCTGAGGAAACCTCTTCTTATAATTTGTTCAGACTCAGGTACTCCTGTTATTAGCAACACAACTAGGATCACATAGGGAACTGACAAGGGCCGTTTTAGACCCAAGTAGTCTAACTTCAGCATCTGCCCAAGTTGACCGTGGTTTGAGTCCCGGACCCGGTGGCTTAAACTCATGCAGGGCACATGTGCGTGCGTGCCCAAGATCCCGAGAGGAGAATGGAGAAGGAATTGTGGCGTGGCCATCCCCCCTGGGGAGTGATTTCTCGTTTTCTGTATCTCTCTCTGTCTTTCTGAGAAGCACATGCGCCCTATAGCAAAACCTCTCAAAAAAAAAAAAAAGAGTCTGCCCTAAAAGTCCCTCCACACTGCGGATGACTGCAGTGGTCGCTAAAGCAGAGGGAGCCCCCTGCAGAGACAGCCAGCACGGAGTGGTACAGAGGAGGGGCTTAGGAAATGCAAGATCCCATGAGGAATGAGCTTTTGGAGGGGAGAAACCAGATCCCCCTTGTTCACCACCACTGGGTCTGGAATAGTAATGCACAAGAAATAGGTTGTCAGTAAACATTTGTGGGAGGAAAGGAAAATTACTATGGTATTCAGTAGCCAAAGACTGGAAGCCTTGTTTCCAAAAAAAGAAAAAAAGAAAGAAAAATTATAAAGTCGAAGACAAATTCGGCACCTTCCCTTGGAACACCACTTCCTAAGATGAACTTGGGAAAGGTCTGAGTCAGCCCCACCTCGCCCACACCTCTACTGCACAGAGCCTGAAGCCCAACCAGATCAGAGGCACTGAGGCCAGGACACCAAGCAGAGGGCCAGGCACCACAGGGGCCTACCTTCCTCGGCGTCGTTCCTCAGCGAGGCCTCCAGCAGGGCCACGCTGGCCTCGAAGGACACCTTCTTGCGGCGGCCACCAGTGCTGCGCTTCCGCTCATGCTTGCGCTTGCGGTGCTGCAGGTCCTGTTCATACTGCGCCCACTTCTTCAGCTGCTGGGCCCGGCGCTTCTGGGCGGCCCGCAGCCGCTCCAACGTGGGCACCTTCTCCAGCAGCTGCAGCTCGGTCAGCAGGTCCACGTGGCTGGCCATGGCCACCGCGCCTCCCCACGCCCAGGCTGGGGGCTAGCACGGGGCACCGGGGGCCAGGGGAGCGCGGGGGCTCCTGTGGGGCTGGAGCCTCATGGTGGGGCCTGTGGTGGGAGAGAGGCAGATGGACACACTTGTCAGGCTGGAAAACTTCCTTAGATCTAAATGATGTCAGCCCCCCACCCCAAGGTCAAACCTTTTTGTTCCTTCGTTTTTGTTTGCAATAGAGCATATACACTTGCCAGAGGAAGAGAGAGAGAAAAAGTGAGAAATTATCCCCTAGGGGGCATGGCCACAACACAGTCCCTTTTCCTCCATTCTCTTCTGGGGGTTTTGGGCACAGCACAGACGCAGTGGACCCTGGTCAGGGCCTTCAACTGTGCTGTCAGACACGTGGGATCCAGCCGCCTTAACATCCATGCTGAGCCCTCTGTTTTGTTCTGTTTAATGCTAGAGGGTATACATGAGCAAAACAGAGCAAGGAGCAAGCAAGAACGGGGGCCCCTCCACAGAGCAGGCTCACCACCATCTTTTTTCTTCCAATTCTCCACCCTGCTTGGATCCCAGGTATACAAATGCATCCATTGCAGGGACTCCAACCCCAGCTCATCCTTGTGGGACCCGGCCTTTTTCTGCTCAGTACCCAAACTCAAAACCTTTTTAAGGTTTCCTTTCCATTGGTCCTAGGGAAGAAGTGCATAGCCTTAAGGTGACCCACAAGTCCCCAAGGTGTGACGGTGCTAATGCGGCAGCCAGTAGCCATGTGTGGCTGTTCATCTTGAACATATTAAAGGAAAATACTTCGGTTCTTCAGGCATACTGGCCACATTTTGATACCCCCCCTGCCCCCAGTGGCTGCCAGAGTAGACAGCACCAATGGAGTGTGTTTCTGTCTTCACAGCAAGTTCTACTGGGCAGTGGTAGGTGTCCTCCACAGCCTCGGCCACCAAGCAGGAACCACGGCCTCCAGCTCTCTTATACAAAGCCCTCGTGCCTTGAGGATTCGGGTGCATGGGTGCTAGAACTGGACGGAGTCATGGAGAACATGATGGGGCTTGCAGAAGCCCCAAATCTGGAGATTATAGGAAGCCAAGTAGAAGCCAAGTCCTTAGAAACAGGAGTATCTGCCATTCTGCTCAAGCCCCTTTCGTTCTGCTCAAGCCCCTTTCGTTCTGCTCATTATGGGATGTAAGTTGTTATGGAGACGGCAAAGACAAAATTAAAAAGAGACCAGAAGATACAATACACTATAGAAGTGGTTCTCAAAGTGTGGTCTGGGAACCTTCGAGGGAGACCCAGAGCCCTTTCAAGAAGTTCACCAGTTCAAACTATTCTCATAACTGTACAAGTTATTCATCTTTTCCAACCTCATTAGCTCATAAGTATACAGGGAGTTGGCCATGTGGGATCCCAAAGTTACATGACAGGTGACAGGTAACACTGCCACATGTGACATTGTGCAATCAGGTTCAATCAGGTGACACTGCAACAGGCTAAATATAAAAATAGATATGCATTCTCAATCTATTCCATTGGTCTACATGCCTGATTTTGTGCAGTACAAATATATATATATATATATATATATGCCCAATATAAAGGGATTTTCAAACACCACTTTTTTTTAAATTGCCAGATGCATGTGCACTCATTGGAGAGAAACAGAGGGACAGAGAGAGAGAGAGAGAGAGAGAAGCAGCACCCTTCAAAAGGACATAGCCACAATGCAATCCCTTCTTCATTTCTCCAGTCTGTTGGGGTTTAGGGTACATGAGCATACAAGCCTGGCATGTTTTTCAGGTTGCCAGGGACAGGATTCGAACTGCAATTCACCATGTAAAGTCGAGTTCCCCTAACTACTAGGCAATGGAGCCAGCCCAAAAACACTTTACTCACTAAATATTTTTGTTTTGGAAAAGTTATGTTTAATCCAAATAGTATATATTTTTAGATAATGTGGGGTTTTTTTTGGAGTTTTTTTTGTTTGTTTGTTTGTTTTTTTGCTATAGGGCACATGCACTCGCCAGACAGACAGAGAGAGACATAGAGACAGAAAGCGAGAAATCACCCCCCAGGGGGGATGGTCACGCCACAATCCCTTCTCCTCCATTCCCCTCTCGGGATCTTGGACACGCACGCACACGCACCCAGCGTGAGTTTTAAGCCACCGGGTCTGGGACACGAACCGCGGTCAACTACGTGGGAGTCCAGCGACATAGCCATTACGCTAACTGCTGGTTCCCGATAATGTTGTATTTTTATAACAGGCTGATAAAAATGTTACGGGATGGAGGCCAACAGGTGGCAATGAGGTTAAGGTGCTGGATCCCACGTGGCCGATTCCGCAACTTGAGACCTGAACCTGATGGCTTGAAAACCAAGCTGGGGGACCAGTAGATGGCGTAGTGGTTAAGGGCACTGGACTCCTATATGGCCGACCACAGTTCAAGTCCCGGGCCTGGCAGCTTGCTTTCTCTCTCTCTCACTCTGTCCCTCTCTGGTCACATTAAAATAAATAAATAAATAAAGTTAAATAAAATAATTCCTA